ATGGGTGACCCTGCTGGTTATTTAAAACACCGGTGGCATAGCCCTCAGAATCACAGCAACTCAAACCACCACAGCACGACAGACGAGTGGTGGCCATTTGGTTTTATGTTGATACTGTCACTTTAAATTTCGATGTCAATCCTGATACAATCAAGATACAATCAAAATGTTCTCTCCCAAGATGGCGGCTCCTGGAACAGCTGAGCGTCTTGATCCAGAAAATAATGTATTTCTGGATTCTCCTGCAAATTCCCCAACTAAAAACCCTTCAAACCTCCAAACATACCTTTGTATTTGTTACAGAGTTCCAACACCATCTCATGAGTCCTCTTGGTCTGGTGTTCCATGTTGTTGTTGACCGAGCTCCTCACTACACGTCTACCCGATCCGCCATCTTGAAGGTGGAAGGCCTGGTAGTGTAGTGGTTAAAAATCTGGCTGCGAACCCTGCGGGCAGCAGCTCAAATCCACCAGGCCCTCCACGTGAGAGAAATGAGGCTTTCCGTTAAACAGCCTTGTGGCCCAGTACTCCGTGTTGTTGTTGTTGGAGCTCCTCACTACAAGTCTCGCTGCTGCTCAAAGTTCTCGCTGCTCAAAGGAGCTCTTAGACATGAACAAAAGCACCAACCTCACCCATAATCAAGTGACTGCAAATTAAAACCAGGAGAGAGCACTTTTTGCCCAACAGGTTGGCAAGGACTGAAGTCTGAGGATTTCCACTGCAGGAATCAGACCCTGCGCGCAGAGCAAGACGGTTGAGCGTGCTCTATGAGCTCCTCTAGAGGTGTGCCTGTAAGCATCGAGATACAGAGCTCCCGTGACGGAAATGCCCACCAGCAAGGGCCATTCCCGGTAAGCTGCTGCCAGCGCCACCCTCAGCAGGCTGCCATGTGCTGAGGGGGAGGCAGCTCCAGGGTCCCGAGTCATGTCAAAGAGGAAGGGTGCAGAGCAGATATTTTAAGGAGGAAGTATGTATTTAGAGACGTGTATAAACTGGAATACCTGGAAGCATCCGTTGTCAGTCCAGGTCCGGCTGCAGAGGGCCTGGGGACTGGCCAGCAGGACGGAACCCTACACAGTTCATTCACACACACACGAGGGGCTTCAAGTTCGTGGGGAAATCCCACTATTCTTTCATTTCATTTTCCCAAGTACTGCCACAAAGTACTAGAAACCTTTATTAAACAAAAATATCCAAATGTGCAACTATTATTACTCAGCATCTCCTCCATATAGGTCTAGACACTTCTGAAGGGAATGCTTGCATATTTTTCTTAAACTGTACTTTTATCTTTAAAACAAAAAAGAAAAAGAAAACATCTTTTTAAAAAAACTGACTTATGGGGGACTGTTCACCAGTGCTGACCCCTTGTGAGAGGCCCAGTGGACGAGTGCTGGGCAGGGCCGGCTGGGTCTGACTGGGCGGACATGCTCCATGTGCTTCCAGGCGCAGCAGGAGCCCCAGCAGGAGGAAGACGGAGGTGGTCCCAGTAAGAGACCCACCCCATGGATAAATGCAGTCAGGGGGCGGGTGGGTGGGGGTGAGAGCAGCTGGGAGGGGGTCGGTGAGGCCAGACGGAGAGAGCAGTGGAGGGCAGCAGGCACAGGGTCTGGGGAGGAGCCACGGTGAGTTCTCAAGAACATGGGTCAGACATCGCTTCCCCGGAGACACAGAGAGGATGCAAACGCGTGTGTCTATGGACACCACAACAGGAACTAGGGGGCCTGCTCTCTGTGGGGTGACGGCACAGTGCACAGTGGTTTGAGGCTCCTCAGGAGGGAAGGGGAGAATGCCAAGCAGAGAGCACACTTACGTCTATAAGGTTTTTCGCCTTGAAAACCTCTCCGATTTCATACATGATGATATCATCTTTTGTTCTCCCTAATCCATCAAAATGAATGTGCTGAACCACCACCTAAGAAAGACAAGGACACTGATGTTCATTAAATCTGACACTAGAGGGCGGAGGTGAGGCATCAAAGCTAAGATAAAGACAAGTCTCAGAAATTCACCTCAATTTCTCTTTTTTTTCCCTCAAGCTTTAAGATGCTAGTCTTCTTATATCTGAACTCTCTTCGATTTACTTTTCATGCCTTTCTAAAATACCTAGCCACGTAGGCTTCCCCTTTGCTAAGTCCTCGCTGCCAGTGACTGAACTCTACACAGCCTTAGAGGGTCCTGCTCTGTGGACATACACTGCCTGTCTGGGGCACCCCATGTCATGACATGCACATCGTGGTAAGCATCTTCGTGGGTTTCAGCGTAGTGTGACAAATGCCTCTTCAAAGAGCCTCTCCCTTTCTGCTTTTGTGCTGCTAGAAGAAACTCCTCAAGGGAAGAGGCGGCTCAGAGGAGAGTGAGGACTCAGTAAACCCTTCCTCAACAGAAACTGAGACTCGGTGGCAGTGGGTTTGGTATCTTGGTTTGGATGACCTAGGACCAGATGTTGTTCCTGTGGCGCTGTGGGTTAATGCACTAGACTGCAAAATTGGTCTGAACTGCAAGGTCGGTGGTTCAGGCTCACCCGTCACTCCTTGGAAACATTCTAAAGGGTTGCTTTGGGCCGGAACTGACTCAACGGCACTTCACAACAACCATGTACTCTAAAGGGGGCAGACACAGGTGCAGCCCACGGCCATCAAATCAATTCCACCACAAAGTGTCCCTACGAGACAAGAGCAGAACTGTCCCGTAGAGTTTTCAAAGCTGTAAGTCTTTCTCTTTACAGAGAAAGCAGCCCGTGGGTCCGAACTAGTCACCTGGCACTTAGCAGCTGAGCTCTCAACCACAGTGCCACCAGGCTCCCTTGTGTTGTATTACATCAACCCTACATCAAGGCCATCAGAAGATACTCACATCTTTGTTTTCAAGAATCTCCTGTTTAGCTTCAGGTTCAACTTCAACAAATTCAGCTTCTTCTCCTAAAGCTCCAAAATCAGGTCCACCCACAGGGAGAGGCTCCAGGCTCTGAGAGGGAGGAGGAAACAGCAGGTCAGCAAAGTGGCAACATCAAAACCCTACAATCCGCTGAGTTTGGTCTTGAGTGGGTGTGCCAGAAAACTCAGTAAACCCACTGGACGCTTACTGACGCGGTTAGGTTCCCAAGGCCAAGGCCTGAGGTGAAGGCCTGCGCAATGTGAAAACAGAGGATGACTACATCACGACTTAACTGCCAAAGCAGGCCCCGTGGCCTTCCCATCACTGCAGGCCTCACGCCTCAGCATCCATTCCTGCCAGATGTACATACATTGTTTATAAACAAAGCAGGCAGACTTCCTACTGCTGTCGCAGATGTGGAATGTCGGCTAAGAAGACAGTTGGTAAGTGGAGTAGGCGTACAGTAGTGTGGAGGCAGGGATAGGACCACAGGGGGACCGCAGGGCAGACATAAGCTGCGGCTAATGTGAACCTTCTTGGATGGGTGACGAGTTCTTGGAACTCGTCAATGGGTGTTCATGATGTTAATGAATTATATCATAATTAACAGAAACATTAATTAGCTAAAGGGTGGTGTGTGAAACTCTGATGACAGTGTATGGCGAACCAAAGGCTATGACTGATCTAATTGTGTATGTACACCTGAGGCTCATTTAAGCACAGAAACAACTGGAAAATAAGGACATTTATCAGGGAGGAAGGTAAGGGTACAAACGCTGCTTTCCTGTTACCAAAAAATGACTGCTTTTTAGAATCAAAATACGATAGCTACATGCACAGACTAAATGTCTAAGGAAACATTTTGCTCTGGGCACGGGCCAATTTTCTTAGTTCAGAGTCTCATCTACACCCTACAAGGAACTGCTTGTGTTCATCTGGTGGGCCAGGGAACAGGCAGTCCCTACCTGACCTGACATTGCCTTAGTCCCACTCTACAAGGGGCTGCGCATGCTCATCCAATGGACCAGGGAGCAGGCAGTCCCCGCCTGACCTGACCTGACGCTGCCTCAGCCCCACTCTACAAGGGCAGCACATGCTCATCTGGTGGGCCAGGGAGCAGGAGAGCACCTTCTGAATTAGGACTCCAGTCTCTGCCAGGCTTACTGCTTCCAGGGAGTCATAGTAACCATCAGACGTTAAAAGAGCTGAATAGAAGATTTCAAAGGGTGGCTCAAGAAGACCAAGCATGATAATGAAATGTGCAAAGCCCTAGTGCTAGAAAACCAAAAGGGCGTCATTTCTCAAGCTGAAAGAACTGACAAAAAAATTCAAGCCTGGAGTTGCAATATTGACGGATTCTCTGGGCAAACACTGAATGATGCAGGACGAGCCAGAAGATGGAAGAAATACCCAGAGCCACTGTACCTAAAATAACAGGGCAAAGTTCAGCCATTTCAGAGGTGGCTTATGGACAAGAACAGAGGAAGTTAAGCTGCACTGAAGGAACTGGCAATAAACAAGACTCTAGGAACTCGCTATGAGTCGGAAGCGACTCCACGGCACATAACCACCACCACCAGGAACTGGTGGAACACCAACTGACACATTTCACCAAAGGGCTACATCGGTGAAATAAAAACTCTGAAAGACAGCCATCTAGCCAGCTGACTAGAAGAGATCCATATTTGTGCCCATTCCAAGGAAAGGTGATCCACTGGAATGTGGGAATTTTCAATGTCATTAATATCCCACACAAGTGAAAATGTTTACTTATCATTTGAAAAGGGTTGTAGCAGTGTAACAGGGAGCTGCCCCAAATCCAAGTGGGATTCAGAAGCAGGCATGGATTTAGGGGTGTCAGTACTGCTGTCCGACGGATCTTGGTGAGGAGCAGAGAATCCAGAAAGATGCTTACCTGTACCTTACTGACTGAAAGGCATTCCACTGTGCGGATCATAAAGTGTATGGAAATTCCTAAACACTTCATTGTGCTCATGTAGAACCTGTATGTAGACCAAGAAGCAGTCTTTTGAACAGAAGGGAAATTGCATGGTTTCAATTCAGGAAAGGTATCCTTTCACTATATACTGATTCAATCTGTATACTGAGCTGACAATCCAAGAAGCTGGACTACACAAAGAATGTGACATCAGGATCAGAGAAGACTTATTAATAACATGCAATATGTTGTTAAGTGCTGTCGAGCCAATTCCAACCCACAGCGACCCTGGGTAGGGTTTCCCAGGAGCAGCTGGTGAGCTTGAACCACCAACCTTGCAGTTCAAACGCCTTTGCAGTCTGTTGCATTAACCCACAGCACCACTCGTCAAAACCTTGCTTGCTGAAAGCAAAGAGGACTTGAAGCTCTTGTTGATGAAGACCAAAGACTACAGCCTTCAGTATGTATGCACCTGAACGTATACAAAAATCCTCACACTTGGTCCAGTAAGGAACATTGTGACAGAGAAAAGATTGAAACTGTCGAGGACTTCATTTGATTTGGATTTACCATCGATAGCCATGGAAGCAGCAGTCAGTTAATAAAACCATGTAAGGCACTGGGCAAACACGTTGCAAAAGACCTTTCTAAAGTGTGAAGCAAAGATGTCACTTTGAGGACTAAAATGCACTGACCCAAGCCATGGTATTTTCAATTGCCTCACTGGCATGAGAAAGCTGGACAGCGAATAAGGAAAACCAGAGAAGAGCTGATGCCTTAGAATCACGGTGTTAGCGTAGAATATTAAGTATGCCACGGACTGTCAGAAGTAGCACACCTGTCTGGGAAGAAGTTCAGCTGGAATGAGAAGGGAGGATGGTGAGACTTCATGTCAGATACGTCTGACATGTCATCAATAAGGACCAGACCCTGGGTGGCGTATTTGGTCAGCAAAGTAAGACCTGCAATGAAACGGACACAGTGGCTGCACCAATGGCCTTACACATAGGAACAATTGTAAAGATGGCACAGAACAGGACAATGTTTCTTTCTGTTGTACAAAGGGTCACTGAGTCAGAACAGCAAAAAAAACACAATATATAACATACAGCATTGTTGTCAAGTAGCGTTGGATCGGTTCTGACCCACAGTAACCCTGTGTACACTTTCCAAAGCAAGGTTGATGGGTTTGAACCACCAACCTTGTGGATTACAGTCCAGGCTCATCCTACTGGACTAGTGTTAAACCTAGTTATATATGTTATGCTGTAGCTGTTGTTAAGTGTCATTGATTTGAACCCCCAGCCTTGCATGCCAGTGCTGATCCTACAGTGCCACACCAGGACTCCTATACATAACAAGGATCGTCACTCACTTGCTTATTCTGACATTTGCTGAAGCACTGTTCACTGGGGTGCTTTCCCAGGGACTCCCCTGGAGATGGACTCTGGAGGTCTAGTGTGTTGCCAGGTGATTTTCACGAATAGCCAAGTTTGGGAAAAACCATGCTAACATCTGGCTGTTTTCCCTGCTTCACCATTCCCAACAACTGCTGTGCTATTCAGTGCCGTCATGCCGGTTCCAACTCATAGCAAACCTATGTATAGAGGGTTTTCAAGGAGCAGCTGGTGGGTTTGAACTGCCAACTTTGTGGTTCGTGGTCCAACAATTCAACATGTTTAAAAGTGCACAGCTGCACAACATGATGAAATAATCATTAACGCTGAATGGTATGTGTGACAACAATGGCTGCACTGGAAGATACTAGGTATATCTTCTAAACAAATGTGCACAGATGTGTTTACCATGTGCTCCCTCCTCCAGCACATCCACTGATGGTGAATGACCCATAGGCCCTGAGTGTCCATAGGACGCTACACGGTAAGGGCCTGTCTGCTACTCCAGGGTCACTCTCATCACCGCCCTGACCCTCATCTGTCCATGCTTCCCACCAGCCTCCCCTAGGGAAGCCCACAGGATCGTTCTGACTCCGAATCCCCTTGACGGCACTGAACAACATTATGACAGCCTAGGAAACACTATACAAGGTCGCTATGAGTTGGAACTGACTCAACAGCACTTACAAACACCTATGTGACAAGCATTTACAAAACCCTCATCCTCACTGTTTATCCCCTAGTATCTGGAAGAGCAGGTGAGGGTACGTACAAAGGGGCTTCAAAAAGATCATGGGAAAATGAAAAGATAAAAGAATTTTCCCACAAACTTTTTGAAGCCCCCACATACTTCATAAAATGACGTAAAATGAGTCGTTGGATCTAGCCTCTGGCCTCTAAGCAGGTCACTTGGCCAATCTGTCCACAGAGTTTCTAAGCTCCACGAGCCAGGCGCTATGCAAGACACGAGGGTCAGGGCACAAAATCCACATTTGTAAAGTGATGTAAACTAGAATCACATAGAAAATATAAAAATACATAACAGATATGAATAGGAAATATTTTCTCTTTGTCTACATATTTTTATTGTGATGAAAATATACACACCAAAAGACACTGCCAACACAACTTCCACATTTGCAATTTAATGACAATGGATACATGTTTTGTGCTGTACCACCGTGATCTGACACAATTTTGATCTCACAGATGGACACTAGTTTTCTTATTGAGAATCCCGATGGCAAAGGTTTGAAAAACAAGGGCTAGTGAGATGGAAAGGTCGCATTTTGGAAGTGAGGACATTTTGTGTGTCAACAGGTTCACCAAGAAGCTGCACTTTTAGGATCAAAGGCGCTCCAGCAAAACAGGGACTCTGTGTGTGTGTGTGGGGGGGGGGGGTACTGTGTGTGCCTGTAGACACACACACACACACACACATGCTACAGCCCTAACACTTAAAACAGTGGCAGACACATAGTTGTTGTTGTTAAATGCCGTCGAGTCAGTTCTGCCTCACAGTGACCCTTTATGCAGTTTCCAAGGAGTGGCTGGTTGGTTTGAACCGCCAAGCTTATGGTTCACAGTGTTTATCCTAGAGTGCCACAGCAGGAGGCACGTAGTAGGTCTTTATCAGTTAAATTAATGAGGGAATGCATATTTTGTTCAAAATGCTACAAAGATTGCATGTGGTCCCTTGTAATTGCAGTCCCATAAGAACATCTAGAAACTTACAATCTAACAGGATAAGACAAAATTGCAAATAGGAAAGAAAAAAATGGCTGAATATAAATGTCACCAGTGGAAAAATGCCAAGAAATGTGAGCACATCTAAACTGGGGCGATATGGCAAGGTTCCTGGAGGAAGCTTCTTGAATGTCATCTACAAGACGAGATTCTTGGAATAACGGGAGAAGGGCTAGGGGCATGGGTGAGGGCAAAGAGAACAGTCCAGAAGGGGGCAGATGACCACAGGCATTTGATCCAATTCCTGATGGCAGCCTGAGACGTCTGCACTAACCTTCTCGTGGGAGCCCACGGGAAAAGCTCCACAAGACAACAGGTACACTCCGCGGTCAATGAAGCGTCCTGGGAACAAGGAGGTTTGCGTTCAGAACACAGGGAGGAGCCAACAGCTTGACGTCGGGCAAACACAAACTTTCATTCTCTGACCCAAAGTCAAGAGCCTAAAGAGCAGCGTTTGGCAAGCAGTTCAGTAGGAGCCAAACAGCAGAGCTGTTATTGGGTGCTGTTGAGCAGAGGACTGCTCCAGAGGAGGGTTTCCAGGCTGCCACCTTTAAGGGCGCAGATCGCCAGGCTTTTCTCCTGCAGAGCCTCTGGGTGTGTTCCAAGGCTGACCTTTCAGGTAACAGCCAAGGTCGCTATGAGTGGATCCCGCTCCACGGCACCTAACAACAGCAAATGGTGTGGCGCTGTAGGGTAAGCGGCCAACTGCTAAACTCAATCCACCGGCTGCTCCTGGGAAACCCGATACAGGGTGAGTACGAGTAGGAACGACTCAACTGCACCTAACAACAATGTATGATGTCAAGGAGCCCTGGTGGCACTATAGATGATGCACTGTAAGGCTGACACTTCAAGCCCACCAGCCGTTCGGCGAGACAAAGACCTGGCAATCCGCACCCACAAAGATGCAGAGCGTGGAAACCCGATACGGGGTCGATAAAGCGTCTGAATCACCTCGATGGCAGTGGGTTTGGGGCTATGCATTTTGTCTTTGCAGCCCATGACTGGTGATGGGGATGGCGAGGTTGTCAGAAAGCCTCCTCGTTCTCCCGCGGAACGGCTGTGCAGCTCGGAACCCGCTAAGCCATCAGGGCTCCCTGGCCCCACGACAAACCCCACTTTCAAAGGGGGAAATTAAAGCTTTGCACGGCGTCTCCCCGACCCCTCGGTGGGTCTGCGCTAGGAGACCTCGAAGATTCTCCCTGTTCTGGAATCGAAGCGCAGACCCCAGAAACGGCCGAGGGCACAGGGAAGGCCAAGACAAAGGAACTTTTTACGGGCTGCTACCGGCGAGACGGAAAGTTCCCAGGAGCTTCCTGGCCACTGGCTCACCGAGTGACCTTGGACCAGTCCCGTCCCACCAGTTTCCGGTTCGGGTCGGCGAGGCTCGCTGGCCGGAGGCGACATTTTCTGCAGCCTCCTTCACTCGGCCACGGAGGTCCGGCACCCTCAGAGGCTCAGGGCCCTGCCGCCCTCTCACCCGGGGACGGTCCCGAGGGCGTCTCCCCGCGGATCCGCCACACAGCTCATGGTCACTGGGCCTCTTACCCGAGCGTGCACCGTCCCCATGTTTCCCTCTCCAGCCGCCGCTCCGCAGGGCACTCGATTGGTGAAGGCAGAGGGCGGGCCAGCAGCAGCAGAGCTGCCACTCAGCGTAGCTCCCACAAGCCTTCAGCCCCAGCGCACTGGAGGCGCCCATGATGCTCCACCTCCTCCCCGCCCCTTCTCCGAAGACGTCTCTGCTCATTGGTCCCGATGAGCTTGTGACCCGGATCTTCTTACAGGCGCCGGAAGCCCTGTGTCCTAAAGACAGCGCACGCGCAGAGTGTTCAATGACTCCCGCCGAGCTAATGGCGTAGTGTTGCGATTGCGAGAAATCCATCTGGCGGATTTGTGTTCTAGACCTTCACCCAACTCGCTCCTTTTACCCTCGTGACACCCCGACCTAGTAGAGGGCTCTTCGCCACATCCAGCCCGCTGCAGTGGTCTCGCCGCCAGCTCTGGGGCTGCAGAGAGCCTTCCTGATCACCAGGACCAGCTCAAGTCCAGCCTCGGAAACCCTGTACAGGGTCTCTATGAGTCGAAACCGACTTCAAGGCGCATCACGACCACCAGCACCACCAGGTTGAATTAGGTAGAGTCCTGGTGTGGCGCTGTGGGCTAATGCGTCAGAATGCAGAGTCGTTTGAACTGTAAGGTCGGTGGTTCAAGATCACCAGCTGCTCCTTGGAAACCCTATACAGGATCGCTATGGGTCGGAATCAACTCGATGGCACTTAACAACAATAACAGAGGTTGAATTCAGAGGGTATTAAAGTTCTCTGGCGCAGTGCACGGCGCTTAGTAAGCAGGGAATGTTGTTGGGTGCCTTCAAGTTCATTCCACCTCAGCCACCCTATAGGACCTATGAGAACTGTCTCATAGGGTTTCTGAGGTTGTAAATCTTATGGAAGCATACCTTCCATGTTGCGGATCACTGACCTTTCGGCTAGCAACTGAATGCTCAATTACTGCGGCGCCAAGCCTCCTAAATGTGGTTAGTGCCGTGGAGTGGGTTCCAGCTCAGCGAGCCTGTATAAGGTTTGTGAGGAGTGGCTGGTGAGTTTGAACCGCCGACCTTGCGGTCCAGTGCTTTATCCTACAGCACCACACCGGGACTCTGTGATAAGCAGGCACAGGTGATAAGTCCAATGAAAGAAGAACCAAGGAGTGAAATATTTTCCTATTATGTACTGTCTCCAAGCAGATCACCTGGCCTTTCTTTCATGTGGCAGAAGGTAGCCATAAGTCGAATCTACTACAGCACTGGGTTCAGGGTTTTGTTCGTTTGTTAATTTTGAAAAGGTGCCATTGTTACAACTCACTCCTAAAAACAAGATTTCATTTTACTTCATTCATCCTCTGTCACTCTCCCCAGACACCCTGACACCAGTTCCCACTTTAACACCTGCCCCTTAAACCTCCAACATCGGTGGAGTAAATGTTGAAAGTCCACATTCCCCATTTGGCTGAGATGAGGCAGAATCTGGCATCTATCAGGCCTTGATCTTTCCCCCACTGGGCACCTCTTGCTGGTTGACTCCCCGTGTGTCCTCCCCGCCAGACTGTTGGCAGGGTCAGGATGGGGGTCCAGTATGACTCACTCCCCTGAACCGGAAACCGAGCACATTGCTGGCACCAGGCAGAGACTTGCTGAACTGAATAACAAAGAGTTAAGCACTCAACTACCAACATCAAGATTGGCAGTTTGGACCCACCCAAGGGTACCGAGAAACAAAGACCAGGCAATCTGTACATGAAAAGTAACAGCCTTGAAACCCTATTGAGTGCAGTTCTGCTCTGCAACACATGGGGTCACCAAGAGGCAGAGTCTGTTCCACAGCCAAGGACTTCAGCTTTGAGTAGATGCCACCTGTCCCAAAGACAGGCTTGAAAATTTGTTAGGTGCTGTCAAGGTTGGTTCTGACTCATAGTGTTTCCGAGGCTTTGAATCTTCACAGGAGCAGAACTAGGAAGTGTAAAATAAAATGACAAGTTTTACTTTATCAAGACGATGAGTTTGCTTACCCATGACACCAAAGATCATCTAGCTAAATAGTAGAGACCCGTGTCCCGAAATAGTCTTTCCCGAAATAGTCTTTCGTATGTATAGCTGTGCTTAGAACTATAGCAGACATCTAGAAGTAGCTTGCATTGTTTTACATAATTGTGTTTATGTGTTTAGGCTTACGTCAAGGAAGGGCGAATTCTAATATTTGTTAACTTTCACTGAAATGTGCTCTTACAGAAAATAACTCAAGATTAATGAACATGTCCTATTCTCAAGTCCCCAGAGGTTACCACAGCTCTCTGATTTTGTGATTAGTATATGCGAACCGGAAGGTCAGCAGTTCGAAACTACCAGCTGCTCCGCAGGAGAAAGATGAGGCGATCTGCTCCTGTAAAGATTTACAGCCTCGGAAACCCTATTCAGGGTTGCTATGGGTCAAAACCGACTCGATGGCACTTAACAACAACAACAACAACAACAAATATGATTATTTAGCAAAGTTTCTATGGAAACCTTGATACAAATATGATTATTTAGCAAGGTTTCTATGGAAACCTTGATACTGTGTGAATACATATATAGAATTGTTGTTGTTGTTGTTAAGTACTGTGGAGTCAGTTCTGACTCATAGTGACCCTGCACAGGGTTGCCAAGGCTGCAAATCTTTATGGGAGCTGAAAGCCTCATCTTTCTCATGCGGAACAGCTGGTGGCTTGGAACTGCCAACCTTGAGGTTAACAGCTTGATTTGTAACCACTACACTGCCAGAGCTCCTTAGATTCTAAAATAACCATCAACCAATCAGAAATGTGTTCAAACTTCCTGATAAAATCAGCTCCCTGAAAACCTTAATTAATTTGGGTACGGATCCACTCGGTGGTGATGTGCTCCCCATTTGCAAATTGTCTATGAAACCTGCAGTGCAATCTGTGAAGGTGTCCCCCAGGTGTCGATTGTGACAGAGGGGACCCACCCTGCCTTGTTAGCTCTGTGAGCCTAGCATTTGGTATAGTTCCGCCTCCGAGCTGGAGGCAGAAAGGGCATTGCAGAAGGGATACAGACTGGACAGAGCCAGGTAGGAGGCCCATTCTACCAATGATTTTAAACATCCTTTTAGATTTCCCAGTAAGAAGCAGTAAGTCTTGGGGCCCTGGTGGCATTGTTGATTAAGCACTGAGCTGCTAACCAAAAGGTCACCAACTCAAGCCCACCAGACACTGCAAAGGAAGAAGACAGGGTAGTCACTTCCATTAAGATGACAGCCTTAGGTCACCCTGCGGGCAGTTCCACTCTGGCCTAGAGGCTCATTGTGAGCTGGAACCCACTCTACAGCATCTGCTTTGGTTCTTCATTCAATCCTTAATACTATGCTTCCTCAGAAAGGATAGCGAGACAGGGAAAACTTTTTTAAAAATAACATTTATGATGAGTTATTTTTTGATTACCAAAGTAATATATATGGTGGTGGTGGTGATGTGCCGTGGTTCCGACTCATAGAGACCCTGTACAGGGTTTCTGAGGCTGTAAATCTTTATGGGAGCAGAAAGCCTCATCTTTCTCCCACAGAACCACTAGTAGTTTCGAACTGCTGACCTTGAGGTGAGCAGCCCAACTCACAACCACTGCGTTACCAGAGCTCCTTAAAGTAATCTATATGGAGTGCAGAAATTTGCAAAGCATGTATAAGTACAGTGAATAATCATGTCAAGAAAGCCACAGTAATTATTTTGGTATATATCTTTTTAGTCTTTTTTTCTAAATGTTGTTGTTAAGTTCCAACTCATAGAACTTGTATAGGGTTTCTGAGGAGTGCCTGGTGAGTTTGAACTGCCGACTTTGTGGTTCAAAGCGACCTTGAGGCCCGGTGCATTATCCAACAGTGCCACACCAGGACTCTGAAAGTTGTTAAGTGCCGTCGAGTCAGTTCCAATTCATAGCGATCCTGTATAGGGTTTCCAAGGAGTGGCTGTTGAGTTTGAACCGCCGACCTTGTGGTTCAAACCAACCTTGTGGTCCAGTGCTTATCTCACAGTGCCACACCAGGAATCCAGACTCTAAACATATACACACACACACACACACATTAGGGAATAGAAACTGTCATGGATTGAATTGTATTCCCCAAAATATGTACGTACTTGGCTGGATCGTGAGTCTCAGAGGTTGGGCAGTTATGTAATGGTGTAATAACGCTCCTCTCACCTGTATGATGTCATCTGTCAGTTGTAAAGGGCTTAAGGTAGGATTGAACACCATTACTCAAGTCATAGCCCTGATCTATGCAAGGGTGGTGAAGGGAGAGGGATGTCCTGCATGATCCTTGATCTTGCAAGAAATCAAAAGAGGCAGAAAAGCAAGCAGAGAGGGAGGAATTGAATACCACCAGGAAAGAAAAGCCGCAACTGGTCCAGTATGCAACATCACAATAAACGGATTAAAAGTGGGAGTTGTCAAGGATTTCATTTGACTTATTCCACAATCAACACTCCTGAAAGCAGCAGTCAGGAAATCAAATGGCATAGTGCACTGGGCAAATCTTCTGCAAAAGATCTCTTCAAAGTGTTACAAAACAAAGGTGTCATCTTAAAGACCAAGGCGTGCCTGAGCAAAGCCCTGGGATTTCCAACTGTTTCATATGCATGCAAAAGCCAGACAACGAATAAAGAAGATCAAAAAAGAACTGATACCTTTGAATTATAGTGCTGGTGAGAAATATTTACTATGTTGTTGTTGTTAAACGCCACTGAGTCGGTTCCGACCCATAGCGACCCTGTATAGAGTTTCCAAGGAGCAACTGGTGAGCTTGAACCACTGACCTTGTAGTTGAAACGGCTTTGCAGTCTGGCACATTAAACCCACAGCTATACACACACACACACACACACACACACACACACACATACACATACACACACACACATATATATATCTATATGGGTGATGGTGATGTGCTGTGGAGTCAGTTCCGACTCATAGCGATCCTGTCTAGGGTTTCCGAGGCTGTAAATCTTTACGGGAGCAGAAAGTCCCATCCTTCTTCTGCG